AAAAGAGAGAGAGAGAGAGAGAGAGAGAAAGAAAAAAAGAGAAAAATCTCGCCCTTGGACCACCTGTCGCCCAGAGGGCTGGTGGGATCCGGGCGAGGGCCCGCGCCCTCTGAGCCCCGCCCCCCCCCGTGGGCGCGCTCCGGGAGGACGGGCTCTCGCCGCTGCACTACGCGGCGACGGCCGCCGGCCGGGTGCGCGAGGCCGGAGGGCGCCCCGCACGGCACAGGCCGCGCGGAGGCCCGGAGAGACACGCGCGGGCGTGGCAGGCCCAGACATGATGGCGTCGCAAAAAAATCAGGAAGGGCGGTTTTTGGCTATCTTCGGCCCCTGGGGGCTATCGCCGGGCCTCGGGGCCATCAGAAAACGACGCAGGATGGAAAACTGGCCCCAGGGAAAGGGTCGGGACTTGCGGGGACGCCGTCCTGAAAAAATCAGGACGTCGCATGTCTGGGGGTGCTTCGCGCCGGGCGTTCTGGCCCGGCTTCCCCTGACTTCGGATCCGCCGCGTACTGGTTGTTTTTTTCCGACGTGGAAGTGTGTCGGAGATGCACCCCAAGCGATGCGAAATTGTATGGCGGAGATGCCCACCTCAGGGAGTGAGGGCGCGGATGCTTCCGCAGAGGCGTGGCGAAAACAGCGACGGCAAAGTAGGGCGGAAATCGGCATCAAAGGAGCCCAGCAAGCAGGGCGGAAATTTCCGCCCTACTTGCGAAACTAACCAAAGTACGGCGGATCCGAAGTCGGGGTCGGGGGTGCTCGCTCTACAGTCCTCCGGGGGTCTGGACTTCTTTTTTCCCCGGAGGGCGAGCTGACACACTGGGCGAGTTGAGGTGCCAGGTTCTCGGGCGTCGTCGTCGCTTCATGTCGCTTCTCGGCGGCTTCCCAGGCCAGGGGTCTGGCCTCTTTTTTCCCTGGAGGGCGAGCTGACACACCGGGCGAGTTGAGAAATTCCAGGTTCTCGGGCGTTGTCGTTGCTATTCTCGGCGGCTTCCTGGGTTCTCGACAGCCTCGGGGTGCCTTCCAGCACTCTGCGCGTCGCCGAGGGCGTGCTGGGGCTGCCCGGGTCGTCCCGAACGGCCGCCGGAGACCCGAGTTTATTCTGGACGCCCGAAATGGGTACGGAAAGAGAGGGTACGATGCCCAACAGCAGCTCCTGTTCATGTTGAACAGGACTCGCTGTCCGCGCAGCCGCGGCCTGTGTCCATTTGAGACAGGAGGCAGCCTGCCCAACAGCGGCCGCTGTTGGTTTGGGACAACATTTGTTGTTGGGCATTGTACCCACTCTTTCCGTGCCCATTTCGGGCGTCCAAATTTATGACCCCGAAGCGAAAACCCAGGAGGGAGAACCCTGAGTTCCGGGCGTTGCAGCTTTTCCGCACCGGGCGGTGTCGCCTGGTATCGGGCCCGAGGGCCCTCACAGATCGATCGGGCCGCGGCAAAATGGGTGTAGGGCTGTTCCGTGACGTCGGGTCTCAGAGATTCTGAAGGGCGCGGAGGGTTTCTGGGCGATTTTCGGCCTCCTGAGGCGCTCACCGGGCCCAATGGTCCCAGGGAAGGGGTTCGAACAGTTGGGGGTCGGGGTTGCGAGCAAGATCATGGCGTCGGCCCAATCTGCTTCCAGGGAGGGGGTTCGAACAGCTGGGGGCCGGCGTTGCGAGCAAGATCACGGCGTCGGAGGTGGGAGGGCGCCATGCTGCAGCCCAGGGCCGGTGTGCACGCCCTCCTGGCTGGGCTCCTCCTCCTCCTCCTCCTCCTCCTCCTCCTCCTCCTCCTCCTCCTCCTCCTCCTCCTCCTCCTCCTCCTCCTCCTCGGTGAAGACGTACGCCCAGACCCCAGAATTTTTGCTCCCCGGGCACAAGCGGGCAGAGAGCCAGTGCAGATGCCGCTCAGCGTCGGGAGGGGCGCTCCAGCAACGAGGTGAGGCGCGAAGGAGCGGGGCAGATGGAGAGAGGCGGACAGGAGGCGCAGTCGAGACATGAAGTCCTTCGCGCGCGCGCCACAGCTGCGCAGAACTCGTAGAACCGGCGGGGAGCAGGCATGGACGAAGTCCACGCCAAGAGACCCGAGACGTGCGCTGTCTTGGCGCTCGCAAGCCACAGCCCCCGCAGCTCCCGACCCCATACCCCAGGGCCAGTCTCTCACCCCGAGCCGTTTTCTGACGGTCCCGCGGCCCGGCGGGGGCCCCAGAAGGCCGCCAGCGGCCCAGGAGCAGGAGGAGGAGGAGGAGGAGGAGGAAGACGAGGCGGAGGAGGAGGAAAGAGAAGGAGGAGGAGGAGAAGGAGGAGGAGGAGGAGGAGGAGGAGGAGGTGGAGAAGCAAGAACAGGAGGAGGAAGAGGAGGGGCACGCCTGGGCAGTCGGCGCCCTCCGACCATAGGGGCGGCGCCGCGAGATCGTGGAGCTGCTGGTGGGGAGCGGCGGCAGCTCGCTCTGGCGGCAGCGCGGCCAAGGCCTCGGCATCGCTCGGACGTGTGCAATCTGTTTCTTCGGCGAGGACCCTCGAGGACCATCCTGGACCATCGAGCAAAAAAAAAAAACACGCACGAAACCGACAAATGCACGGGAAATGGACGTCCGAGCGGCTCAGGAGGGAAAGAATCACACAGACACAATGAATCGTCGATTCCCCAGAAAAGATGGGAACATATGGGAAGTCGGGGGGAAGAGAAAACCCCAGGAAATACAGGAAAATATGGGGAATCTCTTGTGTGTATTTATTTGTGTGTCCTGGGGCCCCTTCAGAGGCGGGGTGCTGCCGATGCACCTCGTGGCCGCCTCGGGCGACGACTTCCTGGCGCGGTGGCTCCTGCAGGACGGGCTCGTGCCGGAGCCGCACGCGCCGGACGACGCCGGGGGCACCCCAGCCTCGGAGCCGGCGGGGGGTCCGAGGTGGCCCAGCGCTGGATCCGGCAAGCAGGAAGGGAGTAGAGAGGTTCGAGGTGCTGGGTTCGGGCAGGTGTTTTTGCCTTCGTCGTGCTGGGAGGGGAGGGTCAGGAACGGATGCGGGGCGAAAACCTGCACCAGATGGACCCCCGAAGGGGTCCAGAGACAGATTTGGAGCGGATTTGCCTTTATCCCCCCCCCGCCTTGACCGATTCTCTCGGGGCCGAAAAGCAGCTTCAGGCATCGAGAAGCGCCCACCGACCCAGACAAGTCGACCGAAGAATTGCCTGCTTCACCCGACATTGGCACTCGAGTGTGCAGATGCAGTCGGGGGTGGACAGAACCCCCAACAGTGACACGTCGATTAGTGAATTGCCCGTTTTCGGTTCTCGAGAGGGCGCCGTGGCCGCTATTCTCCAGGCTGGCGCCCGCCAGGTTTGGGCCTCAGGCTTTTTTTCTCACGAAGCCACGTTTTGCTAAGAGGGGGGGTCTGTCCATCCCCGCTGCAGTCCCCAGTCGGTGTCGCGAATCGACGGTGCGTTCCCAGACCCCCGACGTAATGATTTTTTCATTACGTCGACCCCCAGAGGTCACGACCCTTTCCCCATGACCGGCTTTGCATCCTGAGTCGTTTTTTGACGCTCCCGAGGCCCGGTGAGGGCCCCAGGAGGCCGAAAATTAGGAAAAACCTCCCGTCATGATTTTTTCATTACTCGAGGGGGTCTGGGTTTCTCGCCAGAGACAGCCGGGTCGTTGCGGCACGCCGCCCGGCTGCGGCGGAGAGGGGCCCGCGCTCGGAGCGGCGCGCCCTGCGCCCGTGGAGCGCGCCCCCGGCGGCCCCCTCCCCGCGGGGGCGTGCCGCTCCGCGGGGCCGCGTCCGGGGCCCCCCACTGGGGGAGGGCCCCGCGAGGGGCCCGCGGGCGGCAGGGGGCGGGGGGGGAGGGGCGCAGAGGAGGAGCGCAGCCGGAGCTCCAGGAAGGCAGGGCGGCCCCGGCGGCCCCCCCGCAGGGGCGTTCCGCTCAGCGGGGTCGTGTCCAGGGCCCCCACGAGGGGAGGGCCCCGCGAGGGGCCCGCGGGCGGCAGGGGGCGGGGTCCCTGACTCCGGATCCGCCTTACTTTTTTGGGGAAATTCGTAGGTAGGGCCTGGAATGTCCCGCCCTGCTTTTCTCAAGCCCCGCGGACGCCAGCTTCCGCCCCACTTTTTTCTGCTGCCGTTTCCGCCCTACTTCTGTGGATTTCCGCCCTGCTGTACGTTGGGTGCAGAAATTTCCGCCCTACTTTTTCGGGCTTCTGATAGGTGGATTTCCGACGCAGTTTTAAGTTGGGGGAAAGGCCAAAGTAGGGCGGAGCTGGAGTCAGGCGGGGGGGGGGGGGGGGCGCAGAGGAGGAGCGCGGCAGGAGCTCCAGGAAGGCAGGGCGGCGACGAGAAGGCCGGGATGGGGTCCCGCGGGCCCGAGTCGGCGCGGCCTCCTCCTCCCCATCCCCCCCCCCCATGCCCTTCTCTGCTGTGCAGCTGGGCGTGGTTCGGACATTGTGACGAGGTGATGGGGTCCCTCGTTGCTTTTTCTCTCACAAACTATGTGGCTGCCCATGAGCGCTCATTGTCCAGAGTGTCCAGAATGTCCCCCCCCCTTCCCCCGGCCCGTGCCCATCGGGGGGCCCGTCCAGCTCGGACCCCACGGCCGCCTCCGAGCCCAGCCGCGCTGGCCGAGCAGGGCAACCACTCGGAGCTGGCGGCGCTGCTCCGGGGGTGGGAGGCCGCCGCGCCGCCCGCGCGGGAGCGGCAGGAGGAGCTCTGACCGCGGCGGTGCCGCCGCCCGTGCGAGAGCACGCGCGGGGGCTGCGGAGGAGGAGGGGGAGGAGGAGGAGGAGGGGGAGGAGGAGGGAGGAGGAGGAGGAGGAGGAGGAGGAGGAGGAGGAGGAGGAGGAGGAGGAGGAGGAGGAGGGGGGAGGGGGGGGAGGGGGGAGGGAGGAGGAGGAGGAGGAGGAGGAGGAGGAGGAGGAGGAGGAGGAGGAGGAGGAGGAGGAGGAGGAGGAGGAGGAGGAGGAGGAGGAGGAGGCGGAGGAAAGGCCCCGCGGGCGCCCAGTGCCGCGCTGGCCAACCGCGAGCCTGTGGCCCGAGGGGACGGAGCACCCTGGGGAGAGACGGCCCGAGCGCCAGGCTGCGGGCATGTTTGTTCGTCGGCGGCAAGGGCAGGGTGGGCTGCACCAGCGCTGGAGCTGAACGGGGGCACCGAGGAGCGAATTGGCCAGCGTGCAAGGGCGGGGGGGAGGCCACGGACACACGCGCGCGCGCGCACTTTTTTCAAAGTCGGAGGGCGCAGAGGGACCTCAGGCGCGGTCGGCGGGTGGAGGTGCCAATTGCGAGCGAGCTAAAGTCGAACGCGCCACGATGAAAGGATCCAGTCACGGCCATTCAAATCGGTGGTGAAACAACGGGAGGCGCTGCCATGCCAAAGTGCAGCGGCCAAAGCACCCGAGGAACGTACGCTCGACGCGGGGGAATTGAAGCGCAAGCAGCAGTTCTGGTGCTGATTCAAGCCTCAAAGAGGCAACGACAGAGAACTGTAAAAGGCTGCCAGACTAGCCAAGTTGGTGGCGGTGCATACACGCAGGGAATCTGCGCGACAAAGCAACGCCACCGACCTCGCAGCGAGCAAGTAACAGATTGAGTGACCGTGCGACAAAGTGCATGAGGTCGGCGTGATGAAGATGATCACGCAACCGAGCTGGCTTCGCCTTGGACAACAAAAACGAAGCTGAACGCGGGCGACCGCGAGTAGCAGCCGCGAAAAGCGGCGGTGCACATGGGTGGTGCACAGGCGCGAGCATGGCCAACGTGCAGTGCGGCCGCCAGCGTCAAAATAGCAGCCCCAACCGCGACCAAACTCGCGAAGGGCTACCAGTGAGGCAGGTGACAACAAAACCAACAAAGGATGGGGCAACCATCTAGGCACAAGAGAGACTGTACGTATTTACCGCAAATTGTCGCACCATCCCGACCAAACAGCGACAGGGTAAAAGAGAAGACGAGCAAAGTGAACCCGGCAGCGGGAACCGCCAACGCTCGGACAGAAGGAGACAGACCCCCGCGGTGGGGACGACCCGGAAGGAGGAGAAGGGAGAGGCGGGGACAACGCAGCACAAACAGAAGCCGGAGAGGAGCCCGGAGAGACGACGGCGCAAGGCCCCACGACACGGCCGACCCGCGACAGACCGACGGACGGCGAGGCGAGCGACCCCCTGAGATCCAAAGAGGGGAGGGGGCCGACGAACCACCGCGGAGGAGAGTTGCCGGCGGAGCAAGCTGACGTACAGCTGGAAGGCCAGCAGGAGCAGCGGATTGCAGCCCCAGGTGCGGACGCGCACGCCCAGTTGCGATGCCAGGGTGCAACAAGTGCAGAGGCCGCGGCCATGCCAGTCCGCACCCCATGTCAGGGCGCAAGCAGCAAGGCGGTAAGACCTCCGCCAGTCAAACTGGCAAACGGAAAAACATGCGCGCGCACACACAAGCACACGCACGCGCACACGCGCACACACACACACACACACGCACACACGCACACACGCACACACGCACACACGCACACACGCACACGCACACGCACACGCACACGCACACACACACACACACACACACACGCACACGCACACGCACACACGCACACACGCACACGCACACGCACACGCACACGCACACGCACACACACACACACACACGCACGCACACGCACACACACACACATACACACACACACACACACACACACGCGCACGCACGCACGCGCACACACACACAGACACACACACACACACACACACACACCCGCGCGCGCGCACGCACGCACGCACGCACGCACGCACAAACACACTCTCACACACACACACACACACACACACGCACACAAATGCACACACGCATACACGCACACACCCGCACACGCACACACGCACACACGCACACACACAGACACACAAAAACACACTCACACACACACACACTCACACGCACACGCACACGCACACGACACACACTCCCACACAGACACACACACACACACACACACACACACGCATACACACTGACACATACTTTTAGCGGTCGCGGCCTCACGCGTGGTGACGAGGCGGAGTAAGTCGAGCGGACGGCACGGTGCAAGCAATACGCACACACACGCGCGCACACACACACATACCGATCCCAGGCCCGGGACGCGAGCCCAAAAGCTGGGGACGAGGGGTGCGCTTTAAGTTGGGCGCAGAACAGCGCTGCATGCGCAGTCCAGCATACCTGCACTGCAGCGCGAAGCGTGGAATCGCTACAGCAATTGTAGTACATCATTCCCTGGTATCTCATGGCATAGCAGCGTTGTAGATAGCAACGACATGCAGCACAGCACAACGTAGCTTTCTATAGGATGGCATTGCGCAGCTTGGCATTGCACAGCAGAGGAGGGCATAGCAGATCAGAGCATGCCCCAGCATAGCAACGCATAGCAGGGCATTCCGTAGTAGACCATGGCGTAGCACGGTATGGAATTGCACGTCATGGTGTAGCATACCATTGCACTGCGCAGCAGCTCGCATCATCATGGCGTCTAAGTGCACAGGCAGCATAGCACGGTATACCTCAGCAGCGCATCGCATAGCATAGCACGGCGTAGGTATGTTCGGATTACTGCCAGCCCTGCGCTTCTGAGCCCAGAGCAAGCAGAGCAAAACGCAGACGCGTCTACGAAAACGGCGACACAACAATTTCCATCCAGTAGGAGATCTGACAAATATGGTCTGCTGCTCTTCTCGGACCTCCGCTCAGGGAAAAGTGAAGAGAAGGGAGGCAGGAACCGGAAACCAATTGTACCCTTGGCATTGTTCCCCGCCTGCTCGACATGCTCAGGACACTCTTCTCTCCTGAGCTCCGACAGGCGAGGGCCTTCGAGAAGACAATGGCAGAGGGTGCCTGTGGAACCGCAAGTCATTAGCCTGTCGTGCTGAGCCTCTCGGGCCTGGGCCGCCAGTTGTCACCGATCAGAGTTGTGAGCTGTCCTTG